GGGGGGGCCAGAGTGCCCAATAGCATCAGTGCCTTAACGTAGATCAATAAAGACACAACAGAAAACCTGATATTGTTCACAATAACCTCTTCTTACATCATGCTGGTTTTGCAGCCAGCATGGAATTAATTCAGTCTGTCAACAAGGTGTGTGGTTAGATGATCAAGAATGATCTGAGTCAGCAACTGCAAGCGCAGATGGAAGAGGTGTCTCAATGGCTGTTGCACAGGATCCAAAAACCCTTCCTCCTTCATACATGTACTATGGAAACTTACCTAAACACGCCCTTCTTTCCTAGATGCAGAAGAGTAAGAAAGAGAATACAGAAGTGTTACTTCTCTAGTCTCAGCTATTTCAACAAATGCTCTGCCCGTACCACGAATTGTTTTTGACTGCTTCCGACTTCCTTAGTTAAGAGAAGACCATCAAGCACAAAGAGAAATTATTTCTGCTCAGTTAGAGTCATTCACAATCTTACCAATAAACATGCTAAGAAACACAGTCAACATCGTTATTCTGGCCCCCGACACAGAGTAGCAATGCATTTTCAAAGCCCATGTTTTAACTAGACCACAGTCTGAAATACTACATCATTTGCTCTGGAAAATCAGGACTGAAACTACACATTCTGTGCTATTAAGTGGGACTGGGTGAATAAAAAGGGTACTCTAAAGATACAGTCTCAAAGATTGATGCCAGACTGTTACACTTCCAGTTACTCAGCCCTTCCTCAATATTTTGTATTTTTAACTACTGTTTGCAGTGTTTTGCAACATTCAAATGTGAAAGCCATAAACAGATGGAACATCACAATCATGTCCAGAAGGGACAAATTAGAAATGTAATTTCTTTTTGAAACTTAGCAGCCATGCCCTTCTCAGTTGCAGAGAAGAACTGGTCATTCCCTTTACAAATGCTGTTTTGGAAACTGATTTTGGGGCTCTTTTTAAAATAAAATTTCTTTAAACTGTACATACATCTCTTGGCTTGCTTTTTCTGCTCAGCTCTGTTCAATTTAAGAATTAAACACTAAATTACACCTCCAAAAAGGATATTAAAAATGGTGATGTAAATAAAATTTCATGAAAAAAAATTTACTAGTGTTTCTGAAAACGAAACCATTCAATTAAGAAAACGCAAATTATCCAGCTTCTCCCTTGTGACTTTTTCATTCAAGTTACAGTATATGTGGTCAAAACTCTAAATACATATTAGCATCCTCACTTTAAAGAAAAAAAGTTTGTAGGTCCTGAAGAACAAGTTAAAGAGATAAGCAAAAATCCTTCTGGCCTCCATTAGCTGTCTGACCACACGAACTGGAACCTTAACAGAACAGCAAGCCTTTGATGTTTCTAAAATAGCATGCTGCCTGTGGCAGAAACATCCACCACAGTGGACAAGTTTGTTAGACCATAAGATTCACGTTTACTCTACAGGCCCAAACGCTCTCAGCTTTACAGCTGGCACACCACTAAAATTTAAGCAACCTGATTTCTTGTCAAACAGAGTGATTAAAAATTCACAAGTAGTCAAAAGTATAAATTAAACGTAGGTAGTACTGCTGTTTGCATTATTAGAACAAAGCTATGAGGAGCCAGATGAGATGGTCTCAAGTTTTCTTTGCAGTTTGATATTTGCAAATATACAAAGGTTCTCTCTTCCCCAGGCCCCTTTCAGCAGATCAACAGAACCGATGAAATACATATGCAATAAGGTATTGTGCATACATTTTATGATAAATGCAGATCTGCCAGCTTATGTTTTTTATGACCAGGACAGCTCTGCCCTTCTGAGTAGAAATTTATTATGCCACGACGTGTCCATCCCCTCCCATAATGAGACAAGTGTCTTCCTGATATAAAGGCTGTTTTTAATAACCTATGTGGCCACTAAATGCTAGCTTTTACAATTTATTACACAAAAAATATTTTTCTCTCTGTGTTATAGACAAGAAGTCAAGACAGTAACTAACATGTTCCTAAGAATCTGTAGCCACAGAGGTTTCCAGATAATTAGCCTCTTAGCTGCTTATTCCATCTAAATCACTTTTATTATCCAGTTACAAAATAAAAAATCAAAACTCTTTCATTTCCAATTTGTTAACATTTAAATACCAAACTAGAACGCTACAGGCATGTTTAGACATATCCACAATGCAACTATGCAAGTACACTCAGAGTATAAACAAAGCAAGCGCTTTTTCCACAGCATTAAAATGAGAGCCTTAAATTATTTTCTATCCTCTGCTTGGTCAGAGGATTTTTATATGTATACATACAAATAATATGTACAATAAAACCAGGTTTTTACTGTTTAATTATGTGCATGTGTGTACGTTAACAAAAACAACTTGTGAAAAGCAAAGCTGATAAGAGCATCAGAGAACTTGACAATGCACGGTCACATCTTCATGACTGCAGGAAAGTAACCCAGTTTGCTGGCCAGAGTTGCAGGCAACCTTGAGTCAGACCCAAGCTGGCTTCATGAACAGGCTGCTCATTATCTCAGTAT